CTGAGATATTATAAATAACTTCTAGCTTCATGTATAAAGGTGCCACCTGTACATGTGTGGTTACAGGTAGTGTACTGGTGGCCTCAGCCTCGTAATTAACATGAAAAATGGGTGGTCTTGAATGACATGCGAGAGACTTGGAACGATGCCAGGGAAAGCCACCTGGGAGCCAGGTGCTGGTGTGGTTGCCAATTATGCTCTCATTTTGCTACTGACTTGTGTAATCTATGGAACATTTGAGTTGGTTCATTGATCCGTACAATTTTACTAGTCTTTGGAACATTATTATCATGTTTTAATATTTACAAGTGCTTTTCATTCATGTGATTCAGGTCTTGGATATTTGTAACTGCTTTATTAATGTGTAGTTCAAAGGTTAAAGGTTTTTTGTGCAAATTATAGTCCAGGGGAATGAAGCTGACAATCCCACCTTCTTGTACTGAGAGCATATGGATATTGGGTGTATGTGTGAGCATGGGTATTGTCAGAGTCATACAGAGAGAGGGATTAAAGCTATTATAGTATAAGGGATAGTAACCTGGATGTCCAATTTTTTTCCAAATTAAAACTGAAAGGCAAAATTTATATGAGCTTAGAACAAGTGAAAGGACTACTGGGTAGTCAGGAGTGATGGTATGGACTGTAGGCTGTATCTTCAGGGGACTAGTTAACACATAGGATGGTCTTGAAAAATAGAAATCCTCTATATAATGAAGATTTTGCCAAAGTGGTACGGTACTGTACCCCATTTCCTCACACCTTCCTGCACAGTGTAACCTCACAGTCAAACCATGAGAGGGAGACACTTGTTAGGGAATGATAAAAGCTTACCTCACTGCAGTTCATATACAGTACTTCTTTATCTGAAATACAATTTAACCCCTTCACTACTGGGATGCCACTTTTACTATTTTATTTTGCTAGTGCCAGAGAATTTTATTCAGCAGTGGTTAATGTAGTATTAGGGAGTCTTAACACGTTCATGAGTATTAGTGTTAATGTACTAGTGATGCTTTAGTGTACTGTACAGCATAACCCATGGATCATATATTTAACTCGCTCTGCTACGCCTTATTTCCTCAAAAAGCAAAGTCTTCTACTCTTGATATGAAGTCTTCCTTTCATGGGGATCCTTCTCAGTCAGGCACCTCATTATAGTATACAGTAATACCCCGATTTACGCGGTTTCGCTTTACGCGATTCTACATTTATGCGGTACCTCACCAGAACCGGAATTTCATTTTATGCTACTCATATACGCGGGTAAAGTATAATTTTTTTATTTAGCTCATAAAATTCATACAAATTACCCGGCCAGAATATAATTTACATTGCTGGAATTCTTACAATATGATGATCATTTTGAATATAAACATCATGGATTTTGCATTAGACATACAAATTTTAGATCTTAAGTAATAATTTGGTTTACACAAAGCAAACATTTTATCTTTTGTGCAAAATATATGAAGTTTACATTCAAACTATTCCCTGACCTGCAAGGAATCCAGAAATGTAAATTAAATTATCCTAACTTTAGTCTGAGGTATTATTTATTACTATACCTTAAAATTTAGTGTTTTCACCCAAACATTTCTCAGAGAGGGAGAAGCCAGCGAGTGTGAGAATGGGGGGGAGGGGAGTTGAGTCCATTATTTGAATGGACATTAACCTGGCGACTGTATTTCTCTTCAATATTAATTGTGTGTGCATACCATCATAAAATTAAGATGTTATTTTTACTGCAACGTAGGTATTGTGTCGGAAAAAGTGGAGTTTGGGGGTCTGGCCAGTCTCTATTGGAATTAATCCCATATGTTCTGTTGTTCACTTTACGCGGTTTTCGTTTTACGCGGTACCGCGTGGGTTCAATTGACCGCGTAAATCGGGGTATCTCTGTATACTAGTTTTAACAGTTTACACCAGAAAAAAGAAGAGTTATTGAGGTAAGGGAACTGTGAGTGAGCAGTTCATATACTTAATAAGTTTGATTAAATACAGTATATGAAAGTCAAGATTAAGTATAATACAGTACTGAACACTGAATTGTGTCTAAACTTCAAATTTTGGCTCTGAAGTATAAGGTACTCATAAAGGTATGTTTAATTTTTTTGTATACTGTGCAAGTACCTGTAGAATATAGCAGTGTTTGTGTGTGCCAACTCCCACCACCCTTCATGAGCCACTGTGTTTATTTGTTTAATACTATGTTGTTTATAATATGTTGTTTATGTGTATTTTAGACATTGGTTCTGTGCCCGTGTATTCAGATCTATATCTATTATCAGGACAATTATTATTACTGAGTCAGATGGACTTGTGGCACTACTGAAGTACTGTACAGGTGTTCAGGTCTCTTAAACTGTACTGTACATCCTAATCTGCCTGGTGCTTACCTGATTGTCTCATCACATGTGGAGATGTTAGCAATTCACAAAGTATGAACGATTTCATTTGATCACATAAATTAACTATTCAAAATTTAAGATGTGTTTTAAGATTCTGATCATTTATTCATCTAAATTTTGTATTTTAAGTTTAGTGTACGTATTTGCAAAGGCATATCTGTATAAGATGAGGAGGAAGATTAAAGTTTTTCATGAAATTACAGTAGTATACAGATGGCTCCATTCAGGCCAGCTTCTGTCCCAAAGCTGGGTAAGGAGACAGCTTGCTTTCCTAATCCTAAGTTTTATGAGTCAAAATGGATTATTTGCGGTAACTGCTTTTCAGAGTTCTGTACGTACAGTAGATTATTTTTTATATAAAGTTGTAGTTGTTTATTGTTATTGTGGGAGGACCATTTTTAGGTTCCTTTTAGTCTTGGGTACATGCTAATTCCTTCCTTTTTTTCCTGACCTGAACAGTGAGTACATGTACAGTACACACCTCTCCTAGGGGAGATGTTGTCCACTGTTTCATTGCTGTCAGGATGGATGTTAATTTAAAATTTATGTGGATTCTGGATTTCTAAGAGTAGGCATTCCCAGAGAATTCAGATTAACACCAATTCTATATGGTGAAAGATTTAAGGAATAACAGTATTGAATTCCTGACTCAGTGAATGCAATGGATCAATTCCTTTAGGTGTATAACTGTCAACCCTGAAGAAGTGTGTGGTAGTTCCTCCTCCCCTGAAGTTTTATCTGATTCAGAATTATGGGAGCTACTTGGTTGAGGGTGAATGCCAGAAGTAGGGTATAGATCCTAATATACATCCCCTCTTTTGGTAGCAGATGACTCGCTCCAGGTTTACTCAGATTTACTCAGGTTCATAGATGGTATTGAGCTGGTCACTATGGTAGTTAAGTGCTTAGTTGGATGGTCACGGCCCTAGTTAAATCTTGAGTTCTTTGAAACATCCACTGTGAAAACTGGATGAACAGATTAACCTAGGTTTATATTGTGAGGTTCTATTTGAAAGACTTGAGGACCCCTGGTATGTTGTACAATATTACAAGAGTTTCTTCCTGGTGCTGGGTTCTGCCAGAAGAAGGGATTTCAGGATCAATCCTATTTATAATAAATAGGAAGTCTAATGTGTGGAGACTTCATTGACTGTTACATAACTGACTCTTTTGTTACCTCACAGGGATACTCTCTATAAATAGTATTAGGACCCAACCATGTTTGATGAAAAGATACTAAATGAATGAAAGGGTCATACTGTACTACAACATTAGAGATATCTGTTTATGGATGTTACTTGTCAGAAAGGAATGTGTCAGGGATGATGCCAGTGTGGGATTAATAACTGTACTGGCAGTTGGAGATATTTGGCACAGTGACAACAGGGGCACGGTCTGTTTTTAACACCTGCCACTTGTGTAGTTATTTCCTCTGCTATTTTTTTTTATGTACTGTAGTTGATTTTGTTAAAAATGTTAATGTTTGTACCTTAACAGAAGAGGAAAATAGTTCTGTTCCACTAAACCTAAAGGATGTGAATATGTAATTGATCTTCACAGTTTTTCATAGCTACCAAGTTTGTTATTGGTTCTTGTCATGTGACTTTGCCCAGTTAATGAATAGAATTTTCTGTGGCTCCATTATATGAAAATTATTCCTGTGGTATGGTCTACACAGATAATTGAATGATGGATCCAAAGCATTCTTCAGAAGGCTGTACAGTAAACCCTTGATAACACGGCACATATGGGGCTCTGACCTTGCGGAGTTATCCCAAATTCCGAATTATCGAAGCACTTCCCCCCTTCCTCCCCCCCCTCCCCCCTTCCTACAAAAATACAACACAAAAAACATTATTGATCTATGTATGTGTACGTAAACCCTCGATAACTTGGCATAGTTTCAATACTTGGTTTAATTAGTCATGAAATTCAAGTTATTGGTGCATGTTTTCAAGAATTTTGAGATTCGTCTACTGTACGGCTGATGATTGATTTTACTCCACAAAAGGAAGATATATACTGTATCTCTGATTATGTGTTGTGCAGTTAATATGTCCTTGTGTTTTGTTATTTATCAACTCATTTGATCATCTTTTAACAAGTTACACCGAACTATTTTTTCAGCGCTCTGTATATGAAGTAAATAATGAATCATTGAGGAATTGACGATGATGTCACATGTCTGGTGTGAGCATAAGTGAGATTCCTTGCTATTGAGGTCATCGTGCTTTCTGCACATACTGTAGTAACCTGCGCTTCAAGCTCCAACTTCCTGTGTTGGTGGATTCTTGGCTGTGTGCCACCAGGTTGGTTGGAGGCAGCAATACTAGTCATAATTCTTTAGTGTAAAGGGTACCTATGCCCACACCACAGCTCGAGGCTCCCTCAAGTTTTGGTGTGGCTTAATTGCAGTGGTACTGTACTATGGGGATTTTGGGCAACCTGAAGTGTGTTGCTATATTGTTAGTCAGTAAGGACATTATTACAGCATTGTAATTACTGCAATTAGTTGTGACAAAGGACTTTACTATACAGTGTATCATGGAAAGTACAGCACAATAATCCTAACTCAATTTATTATTGTTGCAGAGGGTGAATGTGATGAGCATAGTGTAGTAGTATTGTTCCAGCCAATGACCCGTAATGGCAGCTGAAAATGGAATTTTGCTGGTTGAAGGACTGTTCTCCTTCAAGGGCAAAAATAATGATGAGGTAAGCATTTTAATACTGTAATGTCCATGTTTTTAGTGGCCAGTGTTAGTATATCAGGAGTAAGTGTTTGTTATTTAAAGAATAATACTTCACCAGTTGTGTTTGGTCAGTGTTGGGTAGTGGAAATTAATTATTTGGCAACATAGTATACAGTACAGTATCCGGACACTTGTCTTATGAAAATTCCAATGCTGATATTATTGGAATTGTTGATAATGGTGTTGATAGTGGTACTAGTGATGATACTGTAGTGAAGTTGGTGTAGTAGTACAAACTAGGCTTTTGGTGTGTGTGTGTGTGTGTGTGTGTGCATGTGCATGCGTGCATAATATGTGCCTGCATGCATATGTATGTGTACAGTAGCTAAAACAACTATCTGTGCAGGTGGGGGTCAATATGCTCCAAAATTTTACATGTGGCTAGTGACAGCCCTCATAAACCAAAATTTATTGTTCACGGTCTCATATTGTTTCCCACAAAGTATGCACAGATGGTTGTTTTAGCTACTGTAATACTGAATTTGTGTGACTGTATGCATGAGTATTGTGCAGGTATTAATAGTAAGTACAGTACTGTATTGTATATAAATTTTGTGTCTTTATTTAGGTTTTGTATACTGTATTGTACTGAACTGTATACTTGAATTTGTGAATCATGTTTGGCATTGGGGTAACATATTTAAGGGATCCAACATTGGCCTTAGTCAAATTCTGAACTTTTTATGTGGTTCCATATATTCAGGGTTGAGAACCATATATATACTGTATACGTATATACAGTATTTTTTTTGTGTGTGTGTGTATGTGTGTGTGTGTGTGTACTTTGTTTCAGTGTGAGGAATTATAATCTTGTTCTTCAGTTGTGGATTTCTCTTGTTAGTGAACTTGTTTGAAGGAAAAATTCACACATATTTTTTTTCATCTATTAATGCTTGACAAATGGATTCATAATATATCAGATGACATAAATATACATGAATATAATTTTTAATTGTTGTTTCTTATTCTTGCCACAGTTATGCTTTGGTAAGGGAGACCTCATCACTGTGACACAGAAGGAGGAGGGAGGATGGTGGGAGGGCACGTTTAATGACAAGACAGGATGGTTCCCTTCAAATTATGTCAAAGAATACAAGCCACCAGGTATGGGGCTGTGTGAGTTAACAGGTATTGGAGCTTCTACTTTGTTTTGATGTTAGATTTATGATTACAGTATAGTCTCGATTTACGTGGATTTCCTTTACGCGTTTGGTCATTTACGCGGCACCTGGCCAGACCTGGAATTATTAGTTACGCGGTACATTTCACCATTTACGCGGGAAGCGGCGCGGGCAGGGTGCGCGCTAGGTCGCCCAGTCAACAAAACATTACCGAGTTCTTTACCCGCCACCCACCACAGCCAGCCCAAGTCAGTGATAGTGAGGATATGGACTTTGAGGGGTTTGACAAAGAGGCCCTGCAAGCCTCTGTGGTGGATAGTGATACAGGTGAGGGCCAATAATCTGCACTCTGCCTCTGAACCAACCCCCCATCCCCATGTGCCCAGCCATCTCTTCTACTAACGTAAGTGTTAAAAAACCTAATATTATTGATATTTCTCTTAAATATTAATTGTGTGTACATACCATCATAAAATTAAGATGTTATTTTTACTAAAACGTATGTATTGTGTTGGAAAAAGGGTAGTCTGGGGGTCGGCTCAGTCTCTATTTCAATAAATCCCATATGTTCTGTTATTGTTATTTCGTTTACACGTTTCTCGTTTTACGCGGACCTCCACAGGTTTAATTGACCGCGTAAACCGAGACTATACTGTATAGTTTTTATAGTACGTACTGCACTCCGTATATTTTAATGTTGATGTTGTTATGTTTGATTGTGTCTAATAATATATATAATAACAACCAGTTTTGGATTTTCATCTTTGAACTGGTAAAAAATTTGCTTTATTTGAAGTGCATGTGTTCAGTAATACTCATGATACATCTTGCTTTATTAATTAGCTACTTAATTACTCTTCATCTTATTCAAACTTTGCTTCATGTACTGTACTGTATTGTACCCTAATATGCATTAAATCACTAGCCAGAGTTGAAATATGTTAGTGGTGTGCAGTAGATCCATAAGCAGTACTCCTACATCAAATGAGTTTAAGCAGTTATCAGCAGGAGTTCTTGACTCTCACTAATATGCCGGCCTTACATATGGTGCTTTTGGCATTTGTGTGATGGGGTCTGCATGAAGTTACACACTGATATAAATGGGGCCCTACACTTTTAAGCTTATTTTTATACTAGGGGCTGCCATTTCCTGTTATTTTGAATAGTGAAAGGTAAAGGAGATAACTTGAAGTTAAAGTACAGTAGTTAATTGTATTTTTAATTTTCAAGATGGTGGATCTGTTTCACCCCAGCGAGGTGATGCTGATCTCATCAGTCCACAGCATTCCCAACAGCAGCAAATTTATCGCAACTTAGTATTAAAGGATATACTTGAATCCGAGCGCAACCATGTAGCTGACTTGCAAGGCCTTCTGGGATCTCATCTGGCAGCTCTACGCAAGGCAGAATTGTAAGTTTTTGTGTGTTTTAGTTTTTCAACATCGTGTTACTACTGTGCATTCCGCTGGTGTTAAGGACTTATTTGTATTTATACAGTAATTTGAACAAGTATGTTTATTCAGTGGTTTTTTTTTTTTTTTATACTGGGATTAGCCCACCCGGGCACTGGTCACTGACCCACATCGCGGCCTGGGGGGCAAAAATGTAGTAATAATAATAATAATAATAATAAAGCATTACAAAAATGAAAAAAAGATAAAAAGTGAGAAACAATATATGTATGTTGTGTTGTCAATGGTAAGAGAAACAATTGAGACCCTGTACTTGTGTGTAAATGGAGCAGAAAGTCAGATCAGCAACCTGGGACTAGGTCACAATTTTCGTGATGCCATATGGCAGCAGGGTCTATCATTAGACAACACATTATGCTTCCAATATCTTCCCAGGCGGTAGTACCTCCCTGTTTGGTAGCTGCCTACTACCTATGTGTGTGGGTCCCTGCCCAACACTGCATTTATAGTAGAATCAAAACTATAATTCAGTCTCCTCCACAATGGTTTTTAAATGTAAAAGTGGAGCACAACACTTTCAGGATTTCTCCATATTTCCTGAAAATTTTAATTGCATAGTGATGTATCTCTCAGTCAGGATAAAAGGATTTGATGACCAAAGTAGAAAGGAAAACATTAATAGGTAAAGTTATAGAGAAATATTTTAGGAAAAAAAATCAGCACAAGGTGTAATGTTGTCATGCTATGTTTAAAACTACCCCGGTATATTGTGGACTTGGCTAAAAATTGGACCATCAGTCGTACATCATTGGACTTATTAATTTAACAATTGGATGTATTGAAGTGACAGAGCTACTGCATATGAAGCTCGGCTGTATGATCTTCTAAAAAGTACTGTATTGAATTCATGTTTTAATCAAAATACAATACTGTAGTAAGATCTTGCTTAATGAGTAACATGGGATTTTGAGAAAGTGTTTGTTTGTTGATTTTTGCAAAATGGGGTCAATTTTCCCTGAGGAACTAGTGGTTAAAATCCGAGATGTGTTCCAGCTCAATAAATATTGAATAAAAAGCCCAAGTTATAATCTAAGCTGCACTGTAGATAAAACATTGATAAAAGTTTGTTATTGGCATCATCACACGCTACCACTTTTCCTTACATGCACTTGTTACTAGTTTAGTTGTGTTGATATACTATACTTAAAGACATTTTTACAGTGAACATGATACAGTTTGGGTACAGTGAACATGATACAGTTTGGGCACAGTGAACATGATACAGTTTGGGTATTCCTTAATATTGTCGGTGAAAATCTATCATGAAAAGATTCGGATACTGTGCCTGTTTTAATTTTACTCAATACAAAGGCATCATTTCAGGGTGGATATCAAGTGTCAGAATACCCTGTGATAATGATGTGTAGGTAATCCACTCATTATGTTACACCTTGAACACAAACAAGTTTATTTTTAGACTTGACCTCTTGTCGTGGGGTTATCTCTTAATGGTCTCTCAGTAAGCATCACCAGGTCACCTACAGTAATCTCCCTATTAGCTGGAATCCCTGTTCCCCAGAACTCATTAATAGCCAGAATGGAAATTGGGCTGGAAATATTCTGGGAAAAACTTTCTCCATTCCATATCTGCAAACAAGTTTCTGAGGATAAAATCAGGTGCATTTTCAGGAAAATTTTCGAGAAGGTTCTGAGAAAATCTGACCAAATTTCTCCATTCTGGACCTGGGAATAAATTTTCCGGGAGTTCCGAGAGATTGCATCACGCTCCAATGTGTACCCCAATTACCAGGTGTGTGGGTGGTCTAGCTGCTTGACTTGCTCAATTCATATTCTGCTCTCATTGTAGAAGGTTGTTTCCTCGCTAGCTGGCATTTTTGTATACAGTTTGTGTTGTGCAGTTCTGTACATTACAGTACTGTACCAGGACACAATCAGCCAAGAATACGTTAAAACAGTGTTAAGACGTAAAAAGTGATTACAGTTTTGTATTACATTCTGCTGAGTGGAGTGTATGCCTACTGTAGGGTATATCACTTAGGGTAACCTTTTTTTAGGTACAGTAGTGTGTCCAGTACAGTACATCAATTATTTTTTCATGTAAAATATCTTCTTTTTATTTCAGGTTATCAGATGCCGAGTATAAACAGCTAGTCAGTAATTTGGATGACGTCACTTTAACGCATTCTCATCTGGTGTCGGCAATGGAGGAACAGAGTGAAAGACCGTCTCGTGATCAACGTATAGGTGGAGCGTTCCTTACCATGGCTCCTCAGCTCCAGAATGTTCATAAAATATACTGTACCAACCATCCTCGGGCAGTGTGCATGTTGGAAAAATATAAGTAAGTTTTGAGGAATTTCGTAAGTAATATCTGCTCTTGTTAACATGATGTGGGTATATTCTGCATTTTGTGAGCAGTTAAAATGTTGATACAGTTAAGATTTCTAAGGAGAACTAAAGTAGTCAGTGTTCTTCTATTTTAATTATTCTTTTTTATTTTTTTTTATTTTAGGGATGACCTCAATAGTTTCATGGAGTGCCAAGGTGCTACAAGACCAGGAATCATGGTGCTGACCACTGCCCTAAGTAAACCATTCCGACGGCTGGACAAGTATGCCGGGATGCTGCAGGAGTACGAGAGACACCTGGAAGAGGGGCATCCTGACCGTGGAGACACACAGCGCTCCTCCCATGTTTACAAAGAGTTAGCTGTGAGTAATGAGTAAAGGTGCTGTAAGATAGTAATCATGCTTTTGTAGATACTGTTATAATTGCAGTACAGTATACAGTATATTCATGTAAATTACATTTTTGTAAAATTTCTTTTACCTTCTAATCAAAACTAATTAGTATTCACAAGTTATTTTACACTGACATGATACCAGATATGTCCAGATGAGTATAATTTATGGGAACTACTTGCAGAGACCAAATTGAGACTTTTTCTCTGGTCAATCATTACTAAAGTTGGGTTGTTTTTCAACAGTCAAATTGTGGAGCTATCAGACGGCAAAAGGAGCTGGAGCTAGAAGTAGTGACGGGCCGTGTGCATGGCTGGGATGGCGGAGACACCCTGGGGACCCTGGGAGAGGTGGTACGCATGGGTTCAGTAGCACTCTTGCCAGACCACCGGGATCGATATTTGGTCCTCTTTCCTACTGTATTGGTCACACTAGCAGTTTCGCCGAGGATGAGTGCCTTTATTTTTGAGGTAAAGGGCGTATGTAAATTCATGTTTTACATAATGGTCATTAGGCTCATTTTTTCTTATACAGGTTGACAATCCCTTATCCGAAATCCTTGGGACCAGATGCATTTCGGTTTTTGGAATTTTTCGGTTTTCAGAATAGTTAGTTTTTTTTTTTTTTTATACACAGGGATAAGCCCACCCGGGCACAGGTCACTGACCCACATTGGGGCCTGGGGGCTAAAATATAATAATAATAATAATTATAATAATTCATTGATATTTTTCATTCTTGTATTTCTTTTTTATTATTATTTTATTATTACAATATTATTGTTATTATTAATATGATTCTTATTTTATTTTTGTGTATTTTTTATTAAAATTTTTATTTACTATGAATAAGTATTATTATTACTGTATTATCATTATTATTATAATTATTATTACTATTACATTTTCGCCCTCCAGGCCCCGATGTGGGTCAGTGACCTGTGCCCGGGTGGGCTAATAAAAAAAAAAATGCTCCACAAAAAAACTTTCGGTTTTCTGAGCTTTTTGGTTTTTGGAATTTCGGATAAAGGGTTGTCAACCTGTACAAGTAAGTAAACCAAGATGGGTGATTAGGGCACTATTTTTTCTTTCTTAATAGCCATAAATGACTCCCACAGTAGTGTAATTTGGGCTATATCTGTAGTACAAGCAAGAAATTTTTTGCTGGAAACTTATTGTGTTTAGAGAAATTAATTTATTTTATCCATATAAATGTAAGAGAAGCTCTGAAATAACTTTGCATCTCCATGAAAAGAATATTGTTTAAATGTTAATACAGTACAGGTACAGGGTACTGTAGTACCATTTATGAAGTTATATGTAATACATGTTAAGATGAGTGAGTGTATGTAAATATTTCCACTTGTTGTTCAAGCTCTTTTCTGTTATTCTTTATTCTTGTTATGCCCCCATACACCCTCTCAGTGCCCCCATACACCCTCTCAATGTCCTCATACACCCTCTCAGTGCCCCCATACACCCTCTCAGTGCCCCCATACACCCTCTCAGTGCCCCCATACACCCTCTCAATGTCCTCATACACCCTCTCAGTGCCCCCATACACCCTCTCAGTGCCCCCATACAGGGTGCGCCCCCCATGCCCCCCACCCTCTCAATGTACACCCTCTCATGTGCCCCCATACACCCTCTCAGTGCCCCCATGTCCCTCAGTGCCCCCATACACCTCTCAATGGCCCCCATACACCCTCATTGGGATACACCCTCTCACCCCCATACACCCTCAAATTCACCTCACACAAAAATGGAGGAATAAGTATAGATAGATGAATCTCCTCAGGTTTATATTATTTTGTGTGAATATTTTCTGGTTGCAGGGAAGTTATCCATTAACCAGTATCCATGTCAACAAGCTGGATGACAATGATCACCACAAAAATGCCTTTGAAGTTTCAGGTAAGTTTACTTTTAATTAATAATGATCTCCTGTTTAACTTTTTTATGGTTAACTCCAAGTACACCTATTACACAATAATAAATTTGCTCTACTGGATATTTATATTCCTCTATTTTTTCATGCCAGATAGACTCGGCACTGTGATTTTAGGTGATCTGGTAATCTCATGTGTGTGACATTTAAAGTGAACTGTACCGGTAACCTTCAGGTCAGAGACGAAGTGGAACAATGCAATATTTCATTATTAGGTAATGGTTGATAAATCCTAGAGAATTTAAATACAGTACACTAATACTGACAAGAGTGCTTTATGTTTGTGAGAGAGTATTTAAAATAGATAAACCTGAAAGAATGCTTTGATGAATAAGTTTTGAGAATGTTTGGTAAGAAATAATTGAACATCTAAAAAAATTCATGAATTAATATGTGACTTATTATAGTTCCCCGATAATTATTTTAGTGTTTAAATACCTGTAATTTTACAACGTCTCTCTGACAGGTCCAGTGGCAGAACGTATTGTAGCTCTCTGCCAAACCCGACAAGATCAGCAGCAATGGGTAGAAGCCCTGAGTCAGCAGAGCCGTATGGCACGAACCTCCAACTTTACCTCCCATAAATCCTCGTTAACTTCCCCCCCTGTACCCCCAGCTCATGTAAGTGTGTGGCCCAGTAGTACCGGCACCGTCATCCCACACAGTCTGTCTCAACCTTCCATGTGCATGTCTTGTGGTTTACCTTGTTACCCCATTGGTGAATGTGCTGGTAGTGTGGGATTTGGTGGCATTGGTGGTTTCCATCATTTGCAGAGCGTGTCTTGCCATTGCACAACACCTGCTGTAGGATCTAGCTTATTTAGCATGTCATGTCCTGTGTCCCCAACCTTACCAGTGCTACCCAGTGAATCCTTCTATGTGAGCAGGCCCTATGCTATCCTGACAAAGTATATAACTAATATGTACAGAAGGAAAATCATTACTAAGAAACTTTTAAGACAGTTAGCCGGAGACCAAGAGGATGTAAATGTATTGTACTTAGTTCAGTTACGGAGACACAAAACAGAGTGTTCAATAAAAACGGGTGATGAGTCTAGTAATGATTCTGATCTTGAGTCAAAGCACCAAGAGATGAAAAAGTTTAGTTGCTCAGAAGAAAAATCTGACACAAGTGAGTCTTCCAGTGATGGTGGTTACTGGGTCGGAGAAGAACCAGAGAATCGTCTAGGTGTCCTTTCACCCATTCCAAAGAAAAAACAGTACCCTTTCCCTAACATTTCCAGCACAGCTTCCAGCAACCTTCAGAAATGGAGATATCAAACAAGATTAACAGATAAAAGATTTAATAGTTCCATTTCCAGTTCAGGAGAATCAGGTGTTTCCACAGATGGCAGTAACCCTTATGGATATGTCAGATATTACAACCCAGAAGATTCTAGCATTGCTTCTTTTAAAGGGGAAAATTTGCATTTTGAAGGAAGTGCCAAACGTTGTACGTACACCAAGCCGTACGGTGTCCAGCAAGATTACTTTATTAATGACAACAGAGGAGAAAAAAGTTCTTCGTGTGATGAATATTATTATTGTCTTCCTCATGGAAAGTGGCCAACGCTATCCTCAATACCAGGCGGTGAGAACTACAGTAGTGAAGAGACTGGTTTAGCACAATTTGGTAAAGATTCCCAATTTGAAGAAGTGAATATAGCAAAGGATGTAACGAAGAGTGACTGCTTAATAGTGAGACCAACTTATAAATTTTTTAAAGTTTATTCTGGTGGTGCCAGACGTGACTCAGAATGTAATGTCATAGAGAACAGTGCTGACCCTTATATGTGCACTGGTCTCTCTAGCTCCAGATCTCTGCCCATGATTAGTTCAAATTTAGTATTACAAGGTAAGGATGATGGCACCCTGTTAAAGACTACCCATTCATCAACTCTAAATATCCCTGCTATACCTATGATCCTTCCCAGCTACCTTGTAGCTGAATCTGATGGGGAGTTAACAGAGAGCTCACCAAATGTTTGTGATAGAACTATTTATGAGTCTTCAATTTCATCAGATGATGTTTTGGGACTTGAGGGAGTATTAGATGAATCAGGGGATCGCAAAAAAGTATATCCCTTTAAAACAAAATCAGACGTTGCCTATTATGTATCTTCTTGTAGTGGTGATGAGACGGGAGAAGACAGAGTTGATTACTATGAAAGCCACAGAAAGCAAGTACCCATCAATTCACCTCTCTCCCGAAGTGAACCAAATTTGTGGAGAAGAATCCCATCAACTAGACGACAGTCGGAGACTCCCAAATATTCAAGCCATTATGTGCAACTGGTGCACAGTGTGGAGAATCCTGCTAAAGTATGTAATTGTGAATCTCACAGCCACAGATCATCAGACTCAGGTCTTGCTGATGTCATACACCATCTTGAGTGTTGTCCACTGAGAAGTGAAACCCCAGGATTCGGCCGTGGTTCAAGCATATCCCGTTGTTCTCACTCTTCGCAATTTTCTAATATTAAGTCTTCACGAAGTGCATCATCATGCCAGGTTCGCCCATTCACTCCAGACTGTGGTGCAGATGGAGACAGCTTATTGGTAACGCCAGTTACAACTCCTTACACTTCTGCCTCTGTGTCATATGCAGAAGATTCTCTTTCTTCTCTAATGGATTCAGTCACATTAGATCATTCAACATCTGCACATGAGCTTAGTTACACAAGTTACTCAGAACCCACCAGTGAAGAGGCAGTGTTTCGTTCTGGGTTGTATGCCCACTGGTGGATGAAGGCAAGTGTTTGTCCTAAGGCAATAATTCTAGACAAATCCAAAAAAGATTTTCTACGATTCAGAACAGACAAGAAGCCAGATGTTCCCCCTAAACCTAAATTTCTTAAGCCATCTTATCATATACGGAGAGGTGGGACAAAAAGGACCATCACCAAACCTGCTGCTAGATCTGCTTCAACTCAAACTAATTTTACTCAGTCATCTCAGTCAGTGAAATTACAGATCATGCCTCCTGTTTCTTCATCATGTTTAAAACATAATGTGGTCAGCAGCTCTAAGTCTGTCCAGTCTCAGGGTGATCAGTCAGTAAGACCCAAGCTCAGGAAGATATCATCTCACTTGAGTCCCCAAACTTCTGTCACCATGTCAAGAGATCGTAGTTTTGAGTCCCAGGCATCACAGATATCTCAAGTGACGGTGATTCCAAGAATTTATAGTGAAAGAGAAGTCACTAGCTCAGAGTCTCAGGGAGACCAACTGACTGTACCACTGAGAGCAAACTTAAATACCTTGAAAATTCAATCAAATTTTTCACAAGAGTCAAGTGGAACCAGTGGAAATTCCTGCACTGAACTTTCAAGTCTCCACAGCTTTAGTGAGTCATGTGAACGAGATGGCAATCCTCCTCATCTGCGGGATTCTTCAGAAGGGCTTGATGTTGATTTCCATCGTAGAGCATCATCCCATTCTCTGCATGTTGATGTTGCTCCTTCAGATGCATTCAAGTCTACTTTATATTGCCATCTACAACCTATCCCATGTATTAGTACTCAGAAGTCCAACTCAGGAATCTTGAAGACTGATAGTGGACCTTCAGCACCAGGAGTTTCCAGTTCTTCAAGAGATGAGTGTCTTGAAAAACCCAGTCTTCCTCCCAAGCCTCCTCATCTGCAACCCTGGCCCATCAAGAGGTCCAAGAGTCTTCCCAAACTGCCCCTGTCATCCATCTCCATCCACAACCAAAGCAAGGTATCTTGGATGAGGCTATCTGCAGGTCCCTGTCCAATTCAGTTTTAGTCTACTATGGTTATTCAAGTAAATATTTTTATATACTAGATTGGAAATGAGACCTGATAACTTTTGTAGATCATTTATTTTACCATATTTGAAAATTTCAAATACTGTATATATACTGTACTATATATATTATGCTTATTTGACCCAGAAAGCACAGTACATGTACCTCTGGTACTCTAGATTTAGCTATACTGTACTTCAGTAGTTGCTGTATGAAGACAGTAAATTTTACAGGCTTATATATTGGTAAATATTTTTTTTATGCTAGTCAAATCACAGATGATAATTCCTCTTCCCTACCTCAGGACTTCGCCAGTTAGGTGTACCCTTGGCTGCTCTTTTATATTTGTCCTGCTTGAGGTGCAGTCACTTATCACTGCTCTGGAGGTAAACATGTTTTTAGGCCACCGTTGATGATTTCAAGGTGTGCCCATCTAACTCACAACACTGTGACAAGAGTTTGTACAGTAAAGATATTCATATTACTAGTTTTGAATACAGTAAACTGTATATTTATTGATTTAAATTTGGTTTAAAATCACTGGTTATATGTTTTTTCAGACAATTTAATTGCTTGTTAAAGTAAATAAGGTTATTTACTTGGAACCCTTTGCTGTTGCAGCTCTTGTGATGTTTGCAATTTTTCATATGTATAGTAGTACGTCGCTTTACATGACTAATTATTGCATAGGATAGTCCAGAGCAGCGGACAACATGTTATAACAAAGCTTTTGCCCTTCCCAACCACCTCCAAGTACAGTATAACCTTGAACTATAAGGGACAGACACTTGTTACATATTTAAAATTCACATAAACGCTATAAATTTTTTAATGTTCGCTAAAACATAGCCTAAGTTAATCACAGTTGTCTTAATATCTTCATAAACATTTAGCAGTAATATATGGACTAGACACCAGTTAACAGTACTGTAAAACTGGGAGGATCAAGTACAGTGAGTTAATTTGCCAAAATGTGTACTGTACCTTCATAGGGCAGTCATACGGTCACCAGTAACACTGAAAGGATACTCACCTCAGATTTAGAAATGCTTATCAGCGGTCATCTTGCGTAATTCATCCGCAACAGTTAACTAATTGGAGACACAATTAGCTTCCATTCTTGAGTGGACATGCCTTTCTCCACCACTTGAACTATCTTCACTTTATGTACAAGATAAAGTCTTAATATGGATATTTGACCTCCACAAGTACTTCACTTTATTCAATGAAACTACTTTAATCAAGTATAGGGTATATAACTTTCCTCCCATTGGATGGCATGAGTGTGTAAGGTTGGCAGTGGTGAGAGAGGGAGGCAAGGGTGACCTCTCTCCCTCACAGCTCCCAACCCTACTTATGTAACATACTCCATTCATTATGGTGAAAATTATTACATTTATTTACTTCATAAAGTTTCACTGAATAAAATTAATGACATGGGAGATTATTGGACATATTAATATCTTGTTTTATGTGTAACATTAATAATGCTGCTCAATAACCTACCTGCTTCAGTTGTGCCCAACACATAACTTTACCACTAACCACAGTAATGCAGTGTACTGTACAGAAACTAAGGGCTTTATATGTACAATAATGTCTTGCCAGTACTCTATTTTACTGAGTAAAACTATAAATCAAACTAATTGTATGATTTTCACTGTATTGAATGGTGTTGACTATATATAAATCTTTTCAGTATTTGGTAGCACACCAATTGTGTCTGTCAAATGCACACATATATACAGCCTCACCAATGATCTCTTGTAATGTACAGTACAGTATTGTATACTCACTAGTACAGTATAGTATCCCTCCTGCGCATTTGTATTACACTAATATTTTATTATAGTGCATAAATGACTACTGTACAGTATTTTGTTCTGTAAACTCACCAGAAAAGATGTCGAGATAATTTATTTGATCAGCAGTCTTTACTATACGGTGCTGTATTTGGTAACCCGATTGTTTTGTGTCCTACCTCCGTACACATACAGACTTGATACAGTTTGCAGACGTTCACTCCATTGTTATCATCCCAGTTTTACATTGTTGGAGGGTAATAAACAGAGACTCTCCCAGTTCAGTCTTAGAGGTGTCCAGTAACTCGGCGTACTACTCTGATAGTGTGTTCAAAAAAATATTGAACTTTAAAAAGATATCAAATTGTATGTTTTGAGGTGAATAATAATAGTGAAATTAGACTTTGAATATATAATTGTAATACTTACTACTTGTTTCTACTGTAGTTATTATATAAAATAGGTGAGTTTGAGGAAGTGAACTGACCCCAAGGTTATGTATTGTTGTGATCTATTGTACCACTTCTAGTTAGTGTGATATAGTATTGTACTTATTATCACATATCTTTTGTGTGCAGTATCGAATATGTCAAGTTCAGTACCAGACATAGAACTGACTTCCAGAATGCACTGATCTGTTTCTCCAGGTACTGGTTAACTGGACACTAGATGACGATGTTGTGGGTATGTTTGTGTTATTTATTGGTTATGAATCTCTTCATGTATTCCATATATAGATTTCCAAGTGTAATATTTAGGCTTACACTGGAATTTCTGTTTACCAGTTCCTGGAAAGACAGTTTTGCTTGTAAAATAAAGTCTGTAGTTAAGAGGAACAGCATTGTGACGTGAAGTAAAGTCTTGGGTGAGGTCACTTGTGCTCTTGGGCATACCTGCAGATACTGGCTAGGTACCTTGCTTCCCCGATATTGACATTTTTATCCCATTGCACTCTACTGGCTATGCATGAATGAATCTGAGGAGACCCTTTTATTATTTATAATTGTGTTTATCTTTACTCTGTGTTGCAGTTGTTGTCCATTCCCAATGTATTAGCATTAATATTGTGTGACATTTGTGTAGCCATAGCTTCACTTATTTTTAATGCACTGCTGCTAGATGACTTGTAAGTATACCTTTAACTATTTTTATGGTTGTAAAATCAGGTGATGCATAATTTTAATTTTAGAAGTTATGAGATGTATAGATATATGTACCATTGTTGCTTATTAAATTATAATATTAAACGATTGAAGTGTTGAAAAATATTACAATGTAAATGCCCATGACAACATACATATTAATAAATGTCAAGATACAAAATAATTTGATATATGATCCATGTTGTATAATTAAGATACTGTTTAAAAACAAGAGTAAGGAAGGTAATGATGAGTGTGTACCCAACAGAGCTCTTCATTGGTGGCGCGGCAAGCCAGCATCACCAGTGTCACTAGTAATACAGACTCCCCGGCCAGACTCCGGCGATCTGCAGGAGGCAAGGTCAGTTGCTGGAATTTAGGATACACCTTATCTTTAACCTTTGCAGTGCACAGAAAGTTGGGTCTGAGAAACTAATAATACTACAGTACAGTAGAAGTCCAAAAATCCGGGCTGCTTGGGGATTGGGTCGGTCCGGATTTTCGGATTTTCCGGATTCTCAGGCAGTACTTTTAAAATTCAAATTTCAGGAGAAATAAAGAAGAGATGAACAGGTACATTTTGATAGTTTATTCATAAGCAAATATAGCATGCTTCATTTATCAAAACGAGCAGTTTTAAAGAAAAAGCTGTGAATTCTAAAATTTTATTCTTTGCCATTTTTATATCATAAATTGTAGATTTTCCAATGTCGTATGTTTCCATTAGAACAGTATTGCTCACACCACGTTCTAGTTTCTTAATTATTTCAAGTTTGTCACTCAATTTCAACGTGTTCTTCTTTCTCTTCACACAATGAAGTTTATCTACTTTAGTAGCCATTATTATGGGCTTGTACAGTACTCTGTAAATGGAAAGAGTAGGACTCAAAATTACATACGTTGTCACAGTTTGATTGCTCGTTTTAAAGTGGCGACCGCGTGGTCGCTTGTTGTCGCTGTGCAGCTGTGGCGCTCACACATGCACACATACACACAAAAGCCCACTAAATTAAAAAAAAAAGTTTAGTTTGAGTTTTCGAAAAGTCCGGATTCTCGGGTGGTCCGGATTTTTGGACTTTTACTGTATATACTTTTAAATATTAGCTAAGCATATACAACTAAAAGAACAAAATTAAGAGAAGACTCGCTTGACTATGTGTACAGGGCAATATATTGTATAATGTTTACATACAACTACTAATGTTTTATGCTAATTTTTTAAATTATCTTGGGACAATAAAAGCACCACAATGGTTAATGGTCAGTAGTTTATCTTTTTCTTATTTGTATTAGTCAGTGTAATGTGACATGGAATAGTGAGAGATTAATCATGGTATAAATTGGGCAAGTGATAGGATGGAAGAAGAAAGAGCAAATTAAAAGTGTTTGGAGTGATGTGCTTAGGAACAGTCTGTGAGGTGAAGAGGATGAAAAGAATAAGCAACATGGACATAGGACGATGTGTAAGTGACAGGAGAGTTGAACAGAAAGCTAACCAGGACTAGCTGAGAGAATGGAAGACAAAAGATTGATAAAAAGAATGTGTAATTCAGAAGTGGATGAGAAGAGTGAGAGAGAGTTGAAAGGATTGGGGTTTGATATCCAAGAAGACATATATGATTAGATGCCATTGTGTAGAATGGCGATGGGGATGGATATGTTGCTGATGTGTGTTGTATGAAATGATGAATAAGCCACATGGAAATCTAGGGACCTTGCTATGAAAGAGGAACACTATGGCAGAGCACATCTGATCAGGCAGCCAGATAGAATGAACGATGGCAAATGAGGAAGTCTGTTACTTTTTATTCTGGATGGCCTGTGTTGAACCATTAAAGGACTTACTGTATGATTATTATTTGGTAGGTGGGTAATCTTTGTTTGCCTCAGGGAATTGTGACCCACATATGAGTATAATGCCCAGATTCTGCTCTGTAAAAATGGATTAGTGGGGGGGGGGGAGGGGGGATTCAACAGAAAACTTATTTGTAATTTGTCTGGTTACAACTAGGCTGTGTTTACCTGATGGCATATCAAGTAACCACACTTAACCCATGCAAGTGTGGAAAATGGCCTTAAAATGATGATGATGATGATGATTAGTAGTACAGTAGTAGTCACAGTATAATTAATAAGGTTGTATTTGTTGTGGTAGGTTTGGAGTATGTCGTGCCTTCGACCTTCCCCACCCTTGAGGCCTGGACTGTCTGTACGAGATGAGAAGCGGAATCAGCGTTATCCTAAGCGAAAAGGTATTTAATTGAATCTTAACATTTACAATAAAGATTTTAACAGGCATAAGAGTAAAGGTGAATTTTAGCCTATTGTAGAACTATTTCAGTATTAAAGAGCGTGTATAATATCCATTTGTATTATTTTATTTGTGTGACTGTTTCTCTGTGCACTATAACAAGGGAAGAATGTGCCTTGCATCACACATTGCTTGTGAGTGAGATGTTTCTTAAAGGATGCAGAGAAAGGAAAGTGTAATTTCCAAGAAGGAGAGTATGGAAATTGAAGTAACAGAATGTAAGGGAAGCATTTAATGCTGAGCTGAGAAGAGTGGAATCAGCCAGTGACAGTGTGAGGGGTAGTGTAACGAGATGCTGGACCAAAATGAAGGATGTTTTCATAAGTGTGACTGACATACTCTGAATAGTGCAGATGCAAGTGGCAAGGTATTCAGAATGGCAAGGCTTGGGTGAGCTAAAATGAGAAAAATTAGGTGTATGTGCAGTTTGACACTGAAAGATAGGAAACCTCATTCAGAGCTAAGAGGGGAAAGGGGGGGGACTGGGTATTGAGAGTATTAGAGAAGAGTGTTTGGTCATGTGGAGAGAAAGAAGGAGACCATCTGGGTAAAAGAGGTTCATGAGTCTAAATGTGGAGGGGAGGAGAGCCACGGATAGGCCAAGGATGACATGGGTAAAAGTTGTAAGAAATAACTTCAGAGATAAGAACCTGACTATTTTAAAGAAGTCTAGAGGTCTTCTCTAATTTTGTTTGGAACCACTGGACTCTACCTGCCCAGGAAATCAACTCCAGTGAAGAGCAATTGATCTGTTTTGCAAATTAGAAATTAAATAAAATTTGTTTATATTTTGGCAATTTAAGTATTTTATTATCATTGATGTTTTATAGGGGATATAATAGTGTATATAAATTACAGTTGTGGGTTGTGTTAGTGGTTCCTGGGCCCTGACCCTGATCTTTCCAACGGCTCTCGTCACTGTTGAAATCAGCAGTGTTATACGGGTAGTGTCGGGCTTACAATTATTACAAATATGCTAAGTCACGCTCTCTCATCAGATGATAAGTGGCACGAAGATGATGCGTTGATACTGCGAGTGATTGAAGCTTACTGCACCAGTGCCAAGACGCGTTACACCGTCAACTCAAGTAAGTTATTAGCCTCATTACAAACATTCTTAAACCACTAGTGCCACCAGTTTTAGTTAGTACCTTGACTTAGAACATGATAAATATTTTGAAGCATAGGCATCTTCCAGGTACACTAATGTTCATCATATACTTAATGTCTTGCCTCTTATGTGTGTGAGAAAGTCAGTGCTAGCAATAGAACATTTAGTATGCTTACAATAGTGCAATATAGCACAGTTTCAGCCTATTGCGAGTACAGGCCGAAGGCTTGTGTGGGCCTTCATCCTCTTGAGTACAGTACATTGTACACTGTCTCCAGCCACCCCAAAGACACAAGGGTCTCCCCCCCCCCCTCTGCCTCAAAAGTGTTTTAATGGTGATATTTGCCTGTGACATCCATCAGTGGCTTAGATTGGACACACTTAAAAATAATAAGTGAAAACTAATGTGATACAGAGGAGCCTCGTTATATCACATTATTACAGTGGGTCACCCATACCCTGCATGGTGTAAATTAACTTTTGTATTTAAAAAATAAATTCAAACTATATTGTACAGTATTCAGAAATACTATACAGAAATTTTAAATTAAAAATAGTATACAGTGATTTCCAAATACAGTAGTTGCTTTAAAAAACATATACAGGTACAGTAAAAACTCCATAATCTTTACCCCTCAAATTTGAAATTACTGTAGTAGCTACTCAGAATTCGTAATGCACTGCTGCTGTTAAATATATACTGTATTACAAATTTTTTAATACGGTATTTGGTAAAATTTTGGATTATGAGAGACATTTACAAAAATGTGTGAAGCACTTGTCGCCATGGTATGTGACCGCCCACCTCTGTGAAGACAAGTACAAAATATATGTGTGTTGGGCCTGTCAGTTCATGTTGGTCAGTCGTGGAGTACACATCTATGGTCTACCATCTAGGCTTTTTCCATTGTTTTTCCATCATTGCTTAGTGTTTGAGCCTCCAAGGAGAAAGCTGTCCAGTTAAGAGCCAAATACAAGATAACGTTTAAATTTTGATTGGGGCAGATAACAGAAAAGTACCGTTGTTTTGTTTGTTTTTACCCTCGGCAGAAGATGTCCCTCATATTTTGCAAAATTTTATGATTGGTAAGAGCTAGAGAGCCTAAGTAAATTACAAGATAAACTAATATCATAGTGCTGCTGACAGGGTGACTACTCTTCCACCAGCGGACTGACAGTCAGATACACTCCAGTACTAGTCAGTGTGCTGTGTATCGAGACTTTTAAATGTTTAATTCAGGGATGCACTGTTGTTAAGTTGAATTTCCCTAAAAAAAATCATTGGCTACTTAAGAGACGACAAATTACGTGCCTAAAGATTGTAGGAAGACTCAAAATATATGAAAATACGGTAAGAACAAGGAAAACAAGAGTGAATTTTTCTTTTTTTCAATTCCTTTTCATATGTTTATCATCATTTTTGTTGGGGTATTCTACTGTATAGCTTTCCACCTTCTGACTTTTTGGATATAATGTACTGTACACTTGTCCAGTTATTTATGCATGTTTTTTTTTTAAGGCTACCTTGTCCTTAATAGCTAAAGGGTGATATTACTGTCTGGTTTTTTTTCATATAGATTCTAACTGTTTGTTTAAGTTGTAGAAGTGCAAGAATTATTTATCATCCTGGTGAGTATCATGAGTGGATCAGGAATTACCAACACCTTGCTGTCCCCATGATGGTACTCAACTGTATGGTTGATTGTCTTGCTCTTCTACATCTGGTACAGTAGAAGAAGAAAAACTGCAGCTGGGAGAAATAAACTTGAATAGGGGTACATAATTAGTATCTGTACTGTACTTATATATAAAAGCCAGAAAAATGTTAAACATGTGTAGTTATGCATATAAATTATGTTTTTTTTTTTTACCTGTGATGCAAATTTTGATATAGTGAGGTTGTTTAAACATACATTACCACGATATAAAAAGGCTCCTCAGTAATTTTATTTATTATAGTTTTTTTGTCACTCAGCATTGAACACTTTTTCTCTTTTCATTTCTTCATATTCCATTAATCTTAGTTCAGTACTGTTAACCTTGCTCTTTCATCCTGTCTCTTACTTGTCATATACATTATTAATATATACTATCACCTTTACTTACTCTCTCTTCACCTGCTCTCTTTATGTGTAAAAATAACTTCTGGTCATCTGTTTTGGCTTTTGTGGTCTGGAGTAAAGATATTGTACTGTATTAAGCCTTCAGTAAATTAATTCCATCTAGAACAACATGTGAATGTGCTTGGTGTAGGCTCAGGGCTTTAGGAACCTAGGAAAGCCATATCTTATGCTGGCTAGGGTAGTAACATGAAAATTAGACTTCTTCCCACAGACAAGTCAAACTTTAAAAAAAGAGGCAAGAAATAAACAGCCCTTGTTGAGAAGCAAATAAAATGGATGCCACTCATGTTCAACTCAGCTCAATCGTAAACCAGGGATACATGATTAAATCATTTCTCCATCTGTTCATCAGTTTTGTAAATTTTTTTGTGTTGACAACCTAACTGAACATTAACAGGTGTGGCAAATGGGAATTTGCCTCCTTGTTCTGTCAGTACAAATTGTGATCATGCACTGTGATGCACCGTCTAGTACTGTATATCTTATATTAAAGCTATTTTGATACAGGGTAATTTGTTTTAAGGGACTCACCCCTTGCTGTAATGTGGAATTGTGGCATTGCCTGAGCAGTGTACCGGGGAAGTTGGTTAGGCCTGTATGGAGGATCCACTTTTAATGTTTACTATACAGTATTTCTCTGTGGTGTTGTGTTGTACTAGGGAGATGCTGTGCCTGTAAGATGTGGGGGCTAGACAACCAGCTACTGTAAGTTAGGCTGTAACAGTGTGAGTTATAATCCTGCAAGGGATAAAACGGTTTCTTTTTGCTCATCCAGAGTCCTTGGGCCTTAACCCCAGGTGTCACTCTGAGCTGAATAAAATTGTCTTTCATTGGCCAGATAGAATATTAAATGTGGCATCCCTGTAGTGAGAGTATTAAAGGTATATTCACAATATTTGTGACATAGAGTGAAGGAAGGTCCTAGTTTCTGGATTCCAGGATGGTCACAGTCTGGTATCCTTTGGGCTTTGTGAATTAAATTGTTTATTAAAATATTCCATCATTTTGCTTCTGTGCTACAAGCCATATCAACACTAAAACAGTTCAAAGAGATCACTACTCTAATAGCACCTTTTATAGTCCAGTAGGATTTAGTTTCTTCCCTGTCTTCACCCATATCCACTTCCTATTCAAATTTCTTTCTTCCCCGGAACAGAGGATGCATAGAGATGCAATTTTTAACCCTTTCTCTCAGCATTATTAGTTATATGCGGATTTTCTTGTTTTTTCTTGTTTGGTTTTGGTGAAGGTTTGGGTAATGTTGTGAGTAAGATAATTCCTGGATTTATTGGTTGTTACTGTTTTACCAGATGGTGCTGATGTTTATTTATATCAGAGTCCTGCAAGGTGTTCCTTGTTGGAGGAGTAATAAACTCCTCATTCTGGAAGTGTCCAGAATTTTGAGCTCTGACTTTGTCAGTAGAAGACCCATGGAACATCAGCAATCTGCACATGCTAAGGAAGATCTTGTGGTTCTTTATGCTCACTGAATATAACATGTTCTTTCCTAGGAGGTGCATAGTTGTGCAGTCCTTGGATCAGTTTGTTTCACCTCCTCCCAATTATTTTAGCTGGCTTTGGTATTTATGAATCATCCCAGACATCCTTGGGACATGGGATTGATGCTTAAATCCCTGTTTAGAACGAAGGGTGTGGATAAAGTGACTGTAGTTGTCCTCCACCTTCAGGTTTTCTGCTGGCATCAGTAGGAAGTGTGTCCTAGGTATGATTGAGCTGAATGGGTCACACACTCGCTGTATGATCTGACTCCTCAGCAACTGCGGCTTCTTTCCAACCTCTTTTTAAGAGTTGAAGTTCCTTGTGATGAGAAGGCTTATCTTCAGCTCATTGCCTTGGCCATTGTTGGTTAAGGCTTTCATGGGTTCCTTAAGTCAATGGTGGGCACATTCATAAGTCAGACTATGGAGGCTCCACTATAAACCAGGGTTTTAAGATCGATCACAAACACTGTCAAGAGTTTTTGTTATATTTAATGTTGGTTTACTTTATTTTCTTAGTCCAGTACAGTATATGTTTTAAGGATAAAAAACAGTTCATTCATACTTTATCTCATTGTTGTGAAAATATAATGCCTTTTTTTTGTCTTTTGATGTCATTATAATTTAATTACAAAAATATAAGATTGTTGCTCATTCATAATTTATCTCATTATTATAAGATGTGAATGCCTGTTTTTATCTGTTTACTTGTCATTTCTTTCTCCTTTTGGTTTTAAGTTCCAAAGTTTCCTCACCTTCTTACCATCATCAGTGTTAATTCTTCCTGTTTGTAACCCATTGGTGTTTTTCTTTGAAAAATTGTGTTAAAAATCTTCATAAAATCTTTCTAAGAGTACAGTATGTTCTTAAAAGTGGATTTCAGTATAACTCTTCCGTGTACTTCCTTGTGTTGGTCAGGAATAAAAGTGTCATTCCAACACAGTATTAAATTTTAGACAGCTGTCAGACCACTCTACTTATGTAAGAAATTTATGAAAAAATACTTGTAATTGTAAGATTTTGAAATGGAAACTTTTACTTCAGATACAGACACACATGAGTATAGGATTAGTGGTTGAAATGTAATATTTGTGGTGTGACCTACAAGACCTGGAGACAGCACCTCGAGATATGCCTGTCGGTACAAAGCCAATGCAACTTAGCCATATTTTTTAACGTGATTCTTGAATTTATGATTATGATGACTGGCACACAGTGCTGTGATGCACCTCATCCTCACTCTTATAGTAAAGTATAGCTACTAAAATTATTAGCATCATGGTGATTGAGGATTCCTGTGTACATGGATGTGTGCTAGTGTGTATGCATGCACTGGACTTACACCATGCAAACAAATTTAACTACAAGATGATTCTTCATAAGTAAAATAATTATCCGGTAGTATGTTTTGTAGTAATATGAGGTGAGGGGTCATCTTTTGTGTAACCAGAAGTAGCTATTAAGTATATCTGCACTATAGGTAGCCGGGTAGTGTTTTATTACCTCGGGGAGCTGGTAACCGTCTTGCTAGCTGTTCCCATCCTGTGGGTTGGCATTAGGAAAGGCCATAAAATTTTCCTTCATGCTTGCAGGTAATCATGGCTAACCATGCAAATGTGAAAAATGGCTTTAAATGTTTTTTATTATGAATAGGTGGTCCACAAAAACTGGTTCTTAGTTACATTCACAGAAACAAAATTTATTTTAAGTTGTGAGAGCTGACCAGACTTCCATGACCATAATCTTGACACTTTTGAGTTGATTGTCTGAGTAGGTAAATATTTGAATGTACAGGTATGTAAATGAACATGAGATAAATTATCTCCCTGGGACTTCATGCACCTCCATCTTTTTCTAGAGTTTTTTTGGCCAGTAACCTTATCTTATGGTATTTGCGAACTTAAATGAAACAAAAGCAATTCTCATTTTGATACTTGATTGTGCATGGATATATTCAGAATGATAAAAACAATGATTGAAATTGGGATAAGTGAAAAGAACTTGAATATCTTTATTTTGTGTGAAACAAAGCGGAAGGCCAAAGGAGATACCGTATGAGTTGAGAGCTCGGGATGTAAAATTAAGAGTGTATGTGAGAGAAATAGTAAGAGCAAATGAAGGTGTGGTGGTGTTGCCTAGTGATGAAATACGGAATTGTATGATAGAAAATAAAGGTGGTTACTTTTAGAATATTATGGGTCATATGAGTTGTATTGAGTACATATGCACCAGAGATTGAGAAGAACAAGAAGTAAAGAGAAGTTATAAGAAATCTAAATAACTGTATTGAAAGACTGATGAAGGATTTAAATGCAAGAGTTAGTGTCAAGGAAATGGACGGGGAATATGTGGCGTCAGGAATAAACAGAAATTGAGTTTTTGATTAAAATGTGTACTGAGAGAAGTAGACAGTTCAGAAAGATCAAAATACATAATCATATAGAAGGATGAAATGTGATTGACATGAATTTACTATGATGGGAGGCACATTCATGGTAAAAACAAAATTCATAATAAATGGAAAGTTCATGGTGAAGATTCAGAAGTTAGAAGATTATAAAAGTTGATGAGTGAGGAAAGAGAAAGTATCTGAAAGATTTAAAGAGAGTAAGACAAAATAGGCACTTGTAAAGAATGGGAACAGTGTGAGGTGTAACTGAGGTCTGTGGATACAAGAAAATAGGTCAGAAAAACAAGGAGAGAATGATAGTATGAGGGGTTAGCAGTGTTGATTAAGGAGGAGTTAGCATAAGAAGTTCAGGGACATTAGAAGACTTACAGTGAGAATGATGGAAGAGCAGGTGAAAAATAGGGTATAAATCTTATTGCTAGGTTTTACATATCTTTTATAGCAGTAAGAAGGAATGAATACCAGCAAATGAAAGGAATGTGTACTGGTATGTGTGTGTGTTTGCTTTTATTTCCGTTCGCCCTCCATCTCTAAGGAAAAGGCATGAAAGAGTAGGGAAAATAATATACAGTATAAGAAATGCATTTGATGGTTTTCTCAAATGAATTTTGTTCCATTTCTTTGGCTCTGTCTTGTGGTGGTTGGTCTTATTCTTTTCTGTCATGTCCTCTCCTCTCTTTCCATTCCTTCCGTGGACTCAGTTGACTTGGGCCAGGTGAGTCGTACATGTGGCAGTGGGGGGCTGGACTGCCGAGTCGGCCAGCACCAACACCAGCAGCCCCCCCACTCCCCACCCTCGCTTTCCCCATTTGGAGAACTTCGGCTGAACAAAGGCCAGCGGTCCAACTGGTGCTGTGGTTTGGCCATAAAGGCAATCAAGAAAAATATTGATTTTGATTGTTGAGATTTTTTCTTTTTAATCTATTGAAGAAGGATGTGACGCTGTGAATGGTTGTATGCATCAAATTGTGGGTGAAGAAGATGTAAATCAGTAGATAACCCAAGACTTTTATCCAGATGGTTTGTAGATGTAATCCCCTGATGATGATATTCTTGCTTGCATTTGTTTTCCAGACTTAGAAAATGTCTGATTAAGTTTGAATTGCAATGTACTGTAATATAATTTGTAGATTATGTATATTTTAATTTGTAGATTATACAGTATATATTTGAACAAATTCAACACCCTAAACTATTTGTTTGTAGAAAGATCTCATTTTTGTATGTACAGTACATAGTTTTTATATTAGAATTAACAGACCCAGGAAGTTGGTCACAGAATATTGATAAAAGAAAACTACTGTACCTAGTAATGTAAACCTATTTAAGAAGCTTTACAAACATCAGTATTAATCAGAATATTTTTGTATATTGTTCTTTACTCCCTCTCCCCATAGATTTGTACCTATTTGAGGTAAAGTACCGTATAGTGTTGAGTAGATGGAACGGATCTTTCCTTAATAACTGCAGTGATGAAGAGTAATTCTTGAACTCGGTTATATTTAATAAAGTACATGAGGGGGGTATTAGTCAGCTAATACTGTATTGTTATTTTTTTTAATAACTTGAAGAGTGATTCCTGAAATGAAGTAAATAATATATAAAGTGTACAATACATTAGACAACTATTGTTTATTAAGCTATTGCATTTCTCCATCTTAGGGTAATGGGGTGTTGCAAACCCATATTATATTATTTCTTATTGTTTTTTGTACTGCAACTTTTATTATTTTTCTATTGGTTAACTCATATACCAGAATAACCAGGTACTGTATGTATGGGTACTGTTTGGCTTCATGGGCAGATGCAACAGTTCTCTAATTAATCCTTCTGTAGATTGATATCACATGGAAGGTAGAGAGATCATTGTATTGTTCCTATTTTCTCATGTTTCTCTGGATGCATGACTGCCCACTGATTTACTATATGTAGACAAGTCTTTATAAAAGTTTTCTTGATTTAAGTATCAGTTTTTCTTTGCTTATAACATGAATGTGTTTAAGTGGAGAAAATGTTTAATCTATTTTTTTGTGGAGTTTGCTGCACGTTTAAACCACTCAGGTTATTCTTTTCATTTTAGGAGTTTAGGTTTGATGTGCTTAAGTGCCTCTTGTGTATTTGGGTTACTACATATATCAAACTTCTTGATACCTGAGCTGTGCTGAGGAAGCTTTATTACTAGATTATTACAACCAACATTATCTGTTATGATTCCATTTAAAGAAATATATCTGTCAATTTGTCCCCAAATCATATAAAACATATTTTACTAGAGCCCCTTCTTTTGTTTTTCCAAGATAATATATACAGTACATACAAGTTTTTCACCTTCTCACTGATGAATTCAGTCCCAAGATTCCAGATAAAGAGGTTAGCTCAAGTTAAGGTAGATTGGCACAAGTGACTTACTAAATACTTGTTTTAATGATCTAATGCTGTTTGTTGATTTTTTCTATGACTGATATACTATGAGAACATTTGTGTTCTATACACTGTTTTGAATGGCATTTTTTGGATAATGATATTTGGAAGATGATAATGCCAGGTGAACTCATGATGATGTCCATTCCATTTCTTAGCCAGATGTAAGGTGCAGCAGTAACATAAGAGTGAATAATACGACCAAGCAAAGTTCATGTTAGATTCGTTGTATTTTACTATGGGAGGTGCTAACTGTTCAGGAGAGAGTAGAATCCCTGTTGGGATAAGTCTGGGATGGTTGGCTTTAGCTGTACTGTCTTTGTAAATACAGCAATGAATGTACAGTACAGTATTTCCACACAGCTTGACTTCTATCGTTTATACACTTGTCATCAATATATAGTTATGGGTTTGGAAGTTAAAAGCTCATGGGCATCTGTGTTTTGGGCCCAATTTTACAAGGATCCAAACAGACAAACTTATATCTGCTCATTATTTCCTGATGCCTGGTAATGAAACTGACATCTTAACAGTAAATGTGTCATACACATGATTAGAGCTGTTAACCCCATGTGTATGGGGTTCTCTCTGAGGCGAGTAAAATTTGTCTGGCATTAGCCGAATCAAATACAATATTAAAAGGGATGTCCTTGTAGTGAAGGGATTAAAACAAAAGAAATATAATTTATAGCCAAGTTCCTGATATTGGCAACTCAGGTAAAGCCAGACAAGTCTGTCTGTTCTACATTTTGTATGCATCAATAACTGTTGGACCAATGAAGGAAGTCTGATGATAATGTTTTTTAAGGCTTATGTCAACAGAATGGTGTGTTACAGACATCTCCCAGGTCCTATAATGAAGGTCAAGGTTACATGGGGTTAAAGGTCAAAAGTGGGTGCTCTTTTGTCAGCTCTCTAATTCTGGAGAGCATCCACAAGTTTTATTGTTTATTTTGTTGCCCAAATTGAAGCCCTTTACAGACTTAAGAATGTGTAAAATTTTGCAACTGGGGATATTACAAGTTTGTCTATAACACATCCTCACTTCTGGTGATTCTCATATTTTCCCTTCTGATCTTTCTTCAAAACTGAAGAAACATTCTTTCTTTTCAAAATTGTCTGATATCTCAGCATCCCATCTTCATTGAAAATTTAATCCATACATTATGAATTCTGAATTTGAATAGCCATAACACCTTTTAACATGCCTGCAAACAGTCATACAGTGGAGTCATGATAATTCACAAAATACAAATTCACAGTCATAAATTCGTGGGTTCCTCTAATACGACCACTTTTTTCTTTTTCTTTTTTTTTTTCGTGGTGAAATATTCATAATTTGCAGCTGAGTGGTGGCTGCCACAGTGTTTGTTTATATAAGCAATCATAAAAGTTGTTGTGGGAATATCATTTCAATGCTCTGATATGACTTAGAAAAAAAAAATAACAGTTTACAGTAGAGCCCCGGTTATCTGGAGCCCGAGTAACTGCCACAAAAATGAAATACAGTGTCATAATAATAGTAATAATAATAAAAATAAAACTTCCTCCAAAATCAACTGGAATCGTAAGTTTGAATACCATGCGTAACGGGCATGAGCTGCCATATTTATTGCTATTATAAACAATACAATCGATACATAGTGTAACATAAAATACAATACCACATATTGTATGTACAAAAAATAGCTCCTTCCACACTCAAACCATCCTCTGGGGCTACATGACACAGTTTAGCCAGGCAGTCACCCAGCTGCCTCAGATATGTGGCTGCTGCACTGCAGTGTGTGTATGCCATGACACCACATTGGTAGAGAGTGCCTCCACACGTATAGTACACACCCAAGCTGTTCATTTTTCTTATTCTATCTAGTTTTATATGATATTTTCTTTATTTCTAGGCCTCATAGAATGGAATAAGTGTTGAGGAAGTCTGTGTTTCTGAGACATGAATTTGCTAGGTCAGCCTGTAGCACTGTACATTGTAGGATTTATTGGGGGATCCAAAACGTGAGGCTTAATTAACCGGAAAGTCTCTCAATTTCCATAGGTACCAGATAACTGGGGTTCTACTGTAATATGAATATTATTTCAGTGCTGTATTGTGACTTAGTAATATATATATACATATACAGTAAAATATAAAATAAAACAATAAAAAAGATAAATTAAAAGTGGGAAGTGCGTTGATATTTTTTTGGATCACTGACATGATTATATGATACTGAATTTTGCTTTCTATTGAAGATTACATTAAGTTTATAATTCAATATATACTATACTTATGTAGCCATTTGCCGTGCTGTTACTTTCCAACAATTTGATTCATTCTGTGACAACCAGCTGAACCATAGAACAGTTTAAGTTCTTGTAGTTCTGTAATTAAATTTTGATGAAATTTGGGCAGTTCACGTTGATATATTATGTAAAGTGTGAAGGTTTGTTGAGCACAAGGATGCTTACGTCACATGAAATGAGGATAATCGTGCGAATAAACCATAAAAGTCAACTGTCATTTCTGCCAGATAAGGATAACTTTGTAATTGCCTGTAACATAAAAATGACTTCTTCAGTTTGCTGATAATTTTAAGAAGTTGTTTAATGTCATTACTTAACCAAACTCTGTCTGAATTTGGATCAGATTGATTGATTAGTTATTGGAAAAAAGATACAAATTTTTATTCCAGTACAGGTACATGTACTGTATTATTATTTTGTAATTATTACCACCACCTGTGATGTGTATGTGTGATATATTGTATACTGCTATACTGTATATAGTAATACACCGGTTTATGTCACTTAGTTTATACCACGACCTTATTTACATTGCGTCTAACCCACTTAAGTTATCGACAGCAATCATCATTTCTGTATCCTTTCACACATACGGTCGTGTACAGTTGGCATCACAGAAAGTGAGAAAATTTGTGGCCTATGGAGACATCTGGCATCTCCTTGAGGTAGTAGATAGTATTTTTTCATGAATGAATCACTCCACTTTGTCAGGTCGGAGTGATTCATTCATTTATTAATGTATTCTGAAAGTGTTAGTGTCATGTGAATGTGCACATTTACTTTTGTGCTTTTTTAAGGCAATGATTATATTCTGTAGTTTTAGGCAGGATTTGGAAGGGACATTTTTATCTAATGAGTTTTTTCCATTAGTGTTGTATTTTTAATGTTCAAATTCATATAGCTTGTAAAGCAGTACAGGTCCTTATTTGTTATTATTGTATTAAGAATTGTACTTAAAAGTGGATATATGGAGAGAAAGTTGTAAGCCTAGTGTAATCTGTTTAGACAACCTTGTGTTGGAATATTGACCTGGGTCATGATCAAAACATGTGTGACCAAGTGCAGGAAACTCATTCTAACCTGGACTCGCTTAATCCAGATCCCATCACAAACCTGACTGGGGTCTATCACTGGATGTATCCCCAACCCAGAAAAACACATCCAAAATCCAGTTAGTATGGGAGAAATTTCATGTAAGTGGGGGCTGCCACTGAGGTCGAGATGTTTACTGAGGAACACTAAAGTGAAGTGTCTAGGAAATATAAAGTTAAGTGTCTAGGAAATATAAATAGCAGGCACTCCCCGGGTTACGAATTTGTTCCATTCCTGGGGACGTTCTTAAGTAAAAATTGTACCCAGGTCGAAACACATGCTATGTGCATACTGTATACTGTACAGAACTTTGTGTAAAATCCCACTATATCATAGCCTAAGTCCTTATATAAATCTAAAATCACTTAATTTAAGAGAAAAAAAGAAATAGGATGACAAAATACAGTGAATGAATGTAAATATAGTAAGTCTTCAGGTACATAAAATACTGCAAAATTATAGTTTAATCTCGTTCATATCCGTGGATGTTCGAAAGTCGGACGTTCGTAACCCTGGGATTGCCTGTAGTGCACACCTTCAGTGGCGTTCATTGTGAGTGTAGTACAATCACTTCCTGCCTCAACTGCTTCATCTCCAAGATTCAACTGCCTCATTAGAAGTTAATAGCAGAAGGGATACAGGAATACTTTGCTATTTACTGTACAACCTCACTTATCCACAATTGATCCCCCTGTATTTTAATACCCTTATTCGATATTCGCAAATGAAAAATTACGATACGCTACGGCAATATTTAAAACCAGGTGGACTACCCGCAGCTCTTATATACCGTTGTAAGGCCCGCTTCACACGAGTGGGTTTTTATTTTCGTGGATAGAGACATACGTGGTTTTGTAATTAATGAAGTTCAACAGGACCGTCCACACGGTGCACACATGCAGGAGACGCTCACCCCACGCCTGTACCTGTACTTCCAAATAGTGGTGTGAAAAAATACACCGTGCATTCTAGAATTTTTCATTTGGCAATGTAAATGCTAGTTTAAATGTTAACACACATTTACAGTCGTCGTACACACATACACACACTCACTCACGCAGAGTGTTCTTTTGCATTGTTTTTGTAGTTACAATCAACCCTCGCTTTACACGGACCCACATTCCGCGTTTCCACGTTTACGCGGTACCCTGCCGAAACAGGAATGCTCACATTCCGCAGTGCGTGTACCCCTTTACGCGGAGAGCGGCTGGCGAGCCGCGGCATTTTTGGATTCAAACCTCCCGCCATCCGCCATGTTGTGTAAGCGGCGCGAGCATGGTGCGCACAAGGTCGCCCAGTCATCAAAACATTACCGAGTTCTTCACCCGCCACCCACCACAGCCGGCCCAAGTCGGTGATAGTGATAATTATAGTGAGGATATGGACTTATATGGACTTTGAGGGGTTTGACAAAGAGGCCCTGCAAGCCTCTGTGGTGGATAGTGATACAATTGATACAAGTGATACAGGTGAGGGCCAATAATCTGCCCTCTGCCTCGGAACCAACCGCCCATCCCCGTGTGCCCAGCCATCTTTTCTACTAATGTAAGTGTTAAAAAACCTAATATTATTGATATTTCTCTTAATTATTAATTGTGTGTGCATACCATCATAAAGTTAAGATAATATTTTTACTACAACATAGTTGTGTGTCGTCAAAAAGTGGAGTTTGGGGGTCGGCCCGGTCTCTATTTCAATTAATCCCATACGTTATGTTGTTCACTTTACGCCTTTCTCACTTTCCGCGGTACCCTGTGGGTTGAATTAACCGCGTAAAGTGAGGGTTGACTGTACTTTATTGCATTATATGGAGTATACCTGTACATTATATTGAAAAAGATAAATATTAAATTAAGAAATATGAAGAGCATAGGTGTGTATATGTATGAAATGAATATGTGTGTTGACTTGACAGGTTGCCAACTTAGATTGTCCCTGTAGCTACATCCCCCTAGCGCTCCTTCTACCAGGCAATGCTGTTAGTGCTATTTTTGTTCAATCTAGAATGTGACGTCTAGCTTTATACCTAGGTATGTAAATGCCTAGCATTAACTCGCCAGGCCAACAGACGGGCAATTAAAACATCTAATAATTACTTAAATATGTAATATTAGGAGGACACGGTCGCTACTTGGCATTTAATTGCAATTCTCAAAACCCCCTCCCGCACCCTCCATCACACGCATTGCTACCGTCATCTTCTTGCCTGGCGAATCGGCTGTAAATACGCACAAAGAAGGCTCCGCTAATTTGTGTTGTAATAGCTGAAATACTAAGTGCCACGAGGATTTTATATTTGGTATTTATACATCTTAGCACGGTGAGGAAATCGAGTGACTTTTATTTTGTTTATGTCTCTCAGATATTGTGTTTGGGGCAATTTTTTAAACGGTCTGGTCAAGCATGGCGATCATATCTTAAGGGATACCTGCATGTACTACATTATACACGCAACACTAGAACCTAATAGCCTCGGATAATGAGGAGTGTATATCAAAAAAATATTTTGGAAGTTGGTGGCTGGATACGCATCCCCCCTATTTACATTAATTCTTATGGGAAAAATTGCCCGATATTCGCAAATTCATTATCCGCAATGACTTAGGAATACATCCCTTGTGATAACCTGGGCATTCCGGTACAGTATTTGATCATTACCTGTACTATGTGTTTCTATATTTTTAAACAGACATATTATAGTGCAGAAAAATGTATACAGTACCAACTGAAGCACTCTTCTATGAGCAAAAATATTTATGGTGAGCAAAGAAGTGTAGAAACTTAACCACAGCATCTGTTCTAATTGTCTTCAAAAGTTGAATTTGGTACCATAATAATCCTAAAAAAAAAACTATGATACAGACAATCAAATGGAGATATTTTGGGGGTGTGAGGGTCGATTGGGGCCGAGTGTAACAGCCGAGATAGCATACACTGCTGCAAGAAATCGTATGAGAGCTCCTGGCAACACAAGTCCCTCAGTAACTTGCCGAGTACTGTTCATTTGTACCGAGAGTGAACACCAAGCTTCGAGAGGTAAAAAAAAAACATTCATATGGCATATAAAAACCCAAAGGGTGTTCAGACTAAAAATTTGAATAGTTCTGGTGTTTTTAGGTACCTTGCAATATAGACAATAGACACTCCACCCAACCCGAAAATTCAGTCAAATCTGGCAGGTTTCACACCCCCTAAATTAGTCTCGATTAGAGGAAGTTTACTGCAGTTGTAACATACACACATGGAGTAAGTTTTTGAGGGTTTTAAACTGAAATTTTAGACTTTGGCTTACTTAGATGTATGTATGTATGTATGTGCCTTTTCTCAGAGTCTGTGATCATTACTCATACAGTACTATAATTTCAAACACTTAGCAGTTCATAAACATAACAGGACCCTTTTGCTATGTTTTGAAAATATCTTTACTGTACTGTATTTTGCTCAGTTGGTTTTTGGTAATTAAAGAAAGCTATTGGCAAAACTCATCATATCACAATGGATAATACTGGATACTTATGATTATCTGATTTTTAAGTCGAGACAAAAACTTTTTATTATTTTACTATCAAGAATGAAAGGTCCAAAACTGTTTGTTTGTTTTGTTAAGTCCAAAATTTTCTTGATTAGTTTGAACTGTTTCAAATGATTACCGAGTCTTCAAAGTTGATAATACAAACTTAGAAATAAATTGTTTGTGTAGTCTGTGAAAAGGAGATTTAAAAGTAAGCTATATTTATTATGTTTGTGTGTTGTAAAGGCTAAGGACATGAAAGAATGGTACATCTTTAATTTTTGGTATTCATTGTTTTAAAGAGTACCAAATGTGGTCAGTGGTATTAAAGAAATAATATCAGTGCTTTACAAAGAATATTTTTATTGTGAAATAGTGTCTTGATAACTTAAGACACAGCAGGCGGTCAAAACTAAAACTCAATGGAAGACTTCAGATATTAGCCTTACACTGTTAATTATAAGATAAGTGTAATCAACAGCCTGGAACTTGTATTAGTTCAAATTACACTGCAGAGCTGGGCTGTACTGTAGTGGTTTACCAAACATGAACCAGTATTTCTTTTTCCTCCTAATAAAAGGTAATAATACTTATCTTCCAGTTTCAGTTTGTTCAAAACAATTATATATTACTGTATTGTATTCCATAGGTAATAACTTGCTATATTTTTTAATTCCTATGCCAGAAACTCTCAATGTTCTCAGGGGAAGAGTTCTAAGTTTGGACAGACTTCCTATTTATATTAGGATACTTCCTTGTTTTCCTGTCCTCTGTTTTATGAACAGATTATTCACTTCTCAATATTTAAGCTATTTTCCAGCATATTTCTCTTTGGTGATAATAATGCAGAAAAACCCGTGATTTTTGGGCCTTTTAAGATTAGAATAGAGTTTAAACCTGGGACATATGACTCCCACACCATACCAGACGATCCATAGTTGGTTTTCTTTAGAGGATCCTCAAATGGTAATGTGAAGCTCATGTAACTCGTCTCTTTTAGAAGCTCTTGTTACAACTTTTAGCTTTATATAGAAGTTATGGAATTAAAGTCTATGTTGTATCTTCAGTCTTTCCTTATCAGTTATGATTCAACTACATTTAAAGTGTTATGCAGATGTCTGAAATTTCTTGACAGTATGCCATAGGGATAAAAAGGTGAGATACATATACATGTGTTTTCTACTGAAGCCATGTTCACAAAAATTGAAAGCTGTTTGCTTTGAAAAGAAATTTTGCTTATTTTTGGGTATTATGCCAAAGTTTTAAAAGCTAAATTTTAAGATTTTTGCAACGTGGCCCAAGTTTCTTGAATACCTAGATGTCATTACTAGATTCAAAGGTCTTCATCTTTTCACTTTTGATGAATATGGTTTTCATATGTTTGGCATCCTAACAGGTTGTGTGCTTTAGTAATGCATTGGCAAGTTGTTTGTGAGCAATAGCTATTTTTCATTAATCTTTTTCCCAATTTTTCTGTTTTTCTATATTATATAGAAATGAGTTGCTGTGAATGTGATATTGTATAATGATTTTATTAAATGTGTTGACTTTGATTTTTATGTTAGTGATAAATAAAGGACTCAAAGAATAGCGAGTGATGAAGAAGAGAGGATGCTAGTGTTGACTGATTGTATGGGAAATGCACTCAAGTGTTGCAATGAGTTCTGTGCTGCTGAGCAAGTAGGGCAACAACCACCTGGGTGAGAATTATAAATTCACTTAATGGTCATGGTGGTGGAGTAAGTAGACAGCATTATCCCTAATAAGTGTGTTGGAGCTATGGTGATGCAGTGAAGAGGACACCATTTTTGTTAAAAAGTGACCTAGGTTCAAGAGTAGCTTGATAGAGTATGCAAGATTCCACTCTTGGGTGAGAAGGGCCTAAATACAGGTATAAAAATTATATTGGTAAAGTTTGGTGGATGTTACCATTACAGACATAGAATTAATAAGCATAGTAGCAGGGAAGGCTGAGTCATGCTTAAGAAGAGGGATAAACTAAATTCTACATCCAGTTTGATATTCATAGATTTACAAATGATGCTAAAAGGAGGAGGATAGTCACAATCTGTTGTATTACATCCAGTCAATAATAAATGGAAGTTAGTTATACTATAATTTTTTAATTATGCATGCACTGAATCCCGAAAATTCTAATTTAATGAAAACATGAAAATTTGCAAAATTACGAATTGGAAAATTCTTTTTTCAACCAAGCCTACAATGCCTGAATCTGGATGCGGTACCCAGAGAAGAATCTTTGTAATTAATCTGAATCTGGATTCAGTTTATGAGCACAATGGGACAGTTATCTCTTTTGGATTATAATAACAGGTAACAATGACAGGCATGTAAGTGGACTGATGGTAGTGGAGTGTGTTGGCTGTTAGCTGAGAGGAATGTACAGTACAATAAGTACAGTGCAGTGCACATATTTCTGGTCACAGTATTCCACAACACAAAGGAGTGTGAACGTGAATTATTTATCAAAGACTAACATGATTTTTTTGTGATGGTTATACTTCAACTTTCTTTTTCTTTAATAAAGGTTAAGTAACCATTACCACTTCATATACAGAGTATGATGAATATATTAAACAAAATAATGATTTAACCCAGAGACAATGAGAGTATGTACCATTAAGTGATGGAAGTGTTGCACTATTTATAAACAAACATCCACAGTGAAT